CACACACAAAACAGGCACATTAGGGAAGTTGCTGCTTCTTTTTTGTATCACTTCATTCCACTCCACAACAAAAATATATAAGAATAAAAATAAACCGGAAGCAAGAAAAAAAAATTAAGAAAGCAATTTTTTTTGTTTCTAAAGTGCTGAAAATAACCAACTCTATCCCCCGGTTTCACAAACAAGGTTTAAAGGCTAGTCAAGATTAAATTGCATGTTTGAGCCGTCTCAACTCAAAATAACTGGTGAAGAGATGTCTTAAAATATGTCAGTGTCATTTTTTTTTTTTTGTCTCCACGTGCACACCAGTAATATTTTTTCTAAGGCCATTTTTCTAAACGTGTCTTAAATAGCCTAATTTAACTAAGGCCTAGTCCTGGCTTAACCTAAGCCCTGTTTGTGAAACTGAGCCGTTATGTCCTACGTTAACAGTAACAATTAAACTGTTACTTATCAGTCCTTTTGCAGGAGTGATATATTGTAAACCACCACAGTTTTTACACAAAAGAATAACATCGTAGTACAGCTGCATGACACTGTAGATCAGGTGTGACCAACCCTGTTCCTGGAGATCGACCTCCCTGCAGATTTCAGTTGCAACCCATATGAAACACACCTGCCTGTAATTATCAAGTGCCGTTCACGTCCTAATTAATTGGTTCAGGTGTGTTTGATCAGGGTTGGAGCTGAACTTTGCAGGAAGATCGATCTCCAGCAACAGGGTTTAGCACCGCTGCTGTAGATTTATAACAATGGTTGCTTTTTTTTGCTCAGCTTTGATCTGTAGCATGAGAAGTACAAAACTCTGGTTTCGATGTCCCCTGACAAGCTTATTTATATGATGATGAATTAAAAAGTCAAAGCAGACAAAAGCATCTTAGTCTAAATCCCAATATGCTGAGCAATTTTCCTAACTGCTAAATGACACTGTACACACCTATGCATCACTCATATACAGCAAATACACAACAATAGAAAGTGTTTCAATTTGTTTCATTTCCTAACCAACCATTGTATATCTTTTCCTTTCTTTCTATCTATCTATCTATCTATCTATCTATCTATCCATCTATCTATCCATCCATCGTTTTTTCATTTACAGTATATATAAAGAGACACACAGAAAGATAGACAGACAGACAAATAGAGATTCCATGTGCATTCTTGAGCCCTATAAAATGCATCATGTTAAAGATTATATTTAGTGACTTAACTCAGAAAAGAAAGGTTATAGGTTTGACAGGAATATTCCTTATTTAGTTGATTTATTTTACAATTCAGGTGTCAGACAGTTCGAAGGTCAGATCTGAACAAGTAAGTGTTTGCTGGAGGCAGCCATGAATGAAAGACACACGCACACAGACCTACACACACACACACGGATACTCACATCTCCCTCACACTGTGAGAATAATAACAGAGAGACGTGTTATTGTTTACAATACATTGAAGGGAAAAGATCCGACACAGAGCACACAATCAAACCTATATGACCTTCAGAAAAAATTAAACAAAACATCCATTTAAAATGGTATTGCTTTACACACACACACACACACACAAACAAACACAAACACACACAAACACACACACACACACACACACACACACACACACACACACACACACACACACACACACACACACACACACACACACACGCACACACACACACACTAGACAGCCAGGTTCCTCATGAGGAATAGGATAACATTAATATTTAAGAGTGATGCAGTCTTAATAACTGAAAAGCCCCTTTTAACTGTGCACTTAACTTGATGACATATTTCCAGATGTGCGACAGGGGTCCACTGGGTTAGTAACACAAAATGTGTCAATGGGAAATCTATTTAAAATCACACCCAATTGGGCCGACTAAAGAACTTTTTCTGAAAAAAAAAAAAAAACAGAATGTGACTCAGCCCTATGAGTAAGTTACATCTGGTGAGGGCAAAATCTTGATTCAATGAAAAGGCAAACCATATGAAGTGAAAGGAGATTAGATTCGCTCATTCACAGATGACATGTCCATGTGCCCTCTGACTCAAAGCTTCCCAGACATTAATCTTCCATTTCCACTTCCATTGTTTCCAAACATAACACAGTAAATGCCCCTTTGTCAATTAAGAAAACACAGACTCGCTTTAACAATGCCCATATACAGCATGAGACAACGTATATCAAAAGTAATAAGGAGTGACCAGGGGCTAGTGAGTTTGTTCATAGTCATAATAACGGCAACATTCAATCATAATAATGCTGAATAACCCCATTCATTTGTTCACATCAGTTAACAACTACTGTTAAAGGGATATTTCACCCAAAAAATGAACATTTCCTCAACATTTACTGATATTCAATTGGTTACAAACTTTTGCGAGTTTGATTCTTCTGTTGAACACGAAATAAAATATTCTGAAGAGTGCTGTAAATCATCAGTTATTGACATAATAGGAACAAAAATAATAGGAACAAAAATAATAATAATAATGCAGAAGTAAATGGCTGTTGCTTTCCAACATTCTTCAGTATATCTTCCTTTGTGTTCAACAAAGGAACGAGACAGGTTTAAAAAAAGCTGCAGATGGGTAAAATAGGACAGAATTAAAACTATTACTTTAAATATTACTAAGCTCTGTTCTTTTTAATTCTTATTAATACTTTTTTAAAATAAATAATTGTTCTCTGAAGTTTGAAATCCTAAAGCTTCCTTTTTTAAATATATCAAACCTCTTCTGCTCACCAAGCCCATATTTATCACTATGTGAATCACTATCTTTCAGATCTTTTCAGAATAGTTATGTGTAGAACTTTAAGATGAAGTCATTTGGTCGCAGGGCTTTTAGTTTTGTTATGGAACTCCCTACCTTTCCACTTTTGCCAGGTAGACACTATTTGCAATCTCAGATAAAGCTTTTTTTGTTCAGATTAGCTTTCAATGATTTGTTGGTTTACTATTATGTTTATTTTGCTTTCCACTGCTTCTGTTTTTATGATGTGCTTCGCCATATACTGTAAGGTGCCCTTGAGTGCTTTAAAAAGGCAGCTATCAAGGTATTATTATTTAATAATAAATAATTAAGCATACCCAATTCGCCTATATCACATGTTTTTGGACTGTGGGGGAAACCAGAGCACCCGGAGGAAACCCACAAAAGAACATGCAAACTTCACACAGAAATGAAACTAACCCAGCCAGGGCTCGAACCAGCAACCTTCTTGCTGTGAAGCAATTGTGTTAGCCACTGCGCCACCCTTATTAGTATTATTGATTTTTTTAATGTAATTTATTCCTTCATTTTATGGCTGAATTATTAGTATCATTAATCCAGTCTTTAATGTCACCTGATCCTTCAGAATCTATTTTAAATAAGCTAAATGGCTGATCTGTTATATTCAGTTATTAATGCTGATAAAAGATTTATTAATGAATGTGTTCAAAATTAAATATAAAACCAATTGTAACATTGCAAAGGCCTTATTATACACAAATTCAAGTTTGTGATTTCCAATTATACTGGCGTCATGATGACTAAAAAGAGAAAAATCCCCTTCGATGAACAATTATTAAGCCATACGTGTCTTGATACCCACCATGGTTCCCTTTAAAAAATGCCCGTCACTACATTAGCAAGTATCAAAAGTCCCAACATCTATTTTATTATTGATAAATTGTCCTTGATGAATAATAGTACTTTTTTTAAAAATACTGATTGGTAGTTTTGAAAGGTAAAATTATAATTTCCACGAAAATATGAAGCAAGCCTTTACACAGCTATTAAACAAAGTCTTCAACAATGATAAAAACAGATTCAGCAAAGACAAAAATCAGTTTTGCTGCAGACGGTCTTGGTCTTTTTTTTTTTTTGGACAATTCCAATCATCAAAGTGAGCTAAGAAAACAACATTAAGCATCAATGTTTTTCAATGATACATTTTTAAATTAATCAGCAATCAGAATGATTTCTGAAGGATCATGTGACACTCGAAATTAATTGTGATTGTGATTTTAAAAATCACAGGAATAAATGACAATTTAAAAACAATTCTCGCAAAATAACTTTACACGGTTGCTTCTTTGTTGTTATATTTTTAATCAAATAAACCCTTATAAAACAGAAGGTCGGAATGTTCTAAAATTTTGACCGGTGATATTTGTTGACATTATTTAGTGGACTATGAAGTAAAATGAACACAAAAATAACATTTTATAAACATTAACAAATATAATATATTTGGTATATATAAGATTCATTCATTTATTTTCCTTGAATGAATAATGAATGAACCACCTACTTATCCAGCATATGTTTTACACAGCAGAGGCCCTCCCAGCTGCAACCCAGTACTGGGAAACATGCATACACACCCATTCACACACATACACAAAAATTCAGTTAATTCAATTAACTTATAGCACATGTCTTTGAACTGGAGGAAACCCACGTGAACACATGAACATGCAAAACTCCACACAGAAACGCCCCAGAAACTGTCCCAGCCAAGACTCGAACCAGTGACCTTCTTGCAGTGAGGTGACAGTGCTAACCACTGAGCCGAGTTACCATTTATATATAAGGTAACACTTCATTTTAAATGGTCTTTAATAGACATTCTGTTGACCAATATAGCAACTAAATCTCATTGGAATATTTGTAAACTGTTGATTTTGGGTTAGTAGAATTAGTTGACATGTACTTGCAAAGCAATGTCTAAACAGGATTGTCAAAATAGTGAAACTATACAAATGTATTGCTCATTGGAAAATGAATCAACTCATTTCTCAAAATCTATTATAATAACTGTAACAGTAATAGTCTATTTAGAGGTTCTTCAAGTGTATATTTGATTTGGATTTTGGTCTAAACAGCGAGTGTCCTTGCTGGACAGCCCACTTCCTGAATTGACCCTCGAGAGATCGGAATCGTGCTTTGTGGGCGGTTACAGGACGAAATCTTGTGACCATAAAGATGTTGAGATAAGTCAAAATAAGAGCTTACAGCTGCCTTGGCCTCTGCTAACTTTGCTTTCTTGAGCCGAGCTTTGCAAACATCCAGGTCAAGACGTCGGTTCTCAAGAAGCCGTCTCTCTCTCTGAAAACAACAAGAAAAAAAGATCGACTTTGACTTTGATACTGAAATACACTTTGCTTTAACGTCAAATCAATCGTTTTTGTATGAATAAAAAAATTTAACTATAAAATGCATTTACTAGAGCTAGGGTTACTGCATGCATCTATGCATAATGTTTACTGTAGTAAGTATATGTAATGTGCAAAAAGGTCACTGCCAAAATCATATACATTCATATAAAGCTTTACAGATGTACATGTATTTTGATGATCTGAATAAAATACAATATAGTACAAATGTACAGTTGAGTTGAGTTGACTTTATTGGTACCCGTAGGTAGATTCTTTTTGCACCAAAGTTTGGCATTTAATACAAACAATTGAATCACACATAAACATACCCACATGTACACATACAAAAATACATTATAAAGTATTACTGTTTATTCAGAGCAACAATAGATAATAGCAAAAAGCTATTTCTGTAACATGCTGAAAGCATCGAGCCGAAGGAAGCAGGATAAACTCCTCAGACCGAGGATGTGAGCAACAGCTATATTTTAGGCAATCCGTAAAAGCTGCCAATTATACAGGGATTCAATAGACCATTTCAATGTGGTCATGTCATTGGCTCATGAACATTTCCTGCATGTTATCAAACTATTTCATAACTGTTACAAGAAGTAATTTAATCATAACTTGATGTTAAAACAGCTCTCATAACATTATTTATCAATATGTGGCTCTTTTTGGATTATCGGAAGCTATAGATATAAAACATGTAAAACAGCTAATAGCTTGGGACCATTGTTTTTGTTTGCATCCCTCAAAATGAAGGATAGAACTGACTCAATAACAGCAAGACAGAAAACAGTAAGCGTATTGGGGCCAATGTGAAAACGTGATAGTTTCCTGAGACAATAAAGGCACTACAGCGTTGAAGGTCAAAAAGCTGACCTTATTCATAGAATATGAGCATAATAAAACTACAAAAAAAATTGTGTTTAAGAACAAACTAATTATTGCATGCATTTTTCATAGTATTGTGGTCAGGGTGTCCTTCTGTCTGAAAGTACTAATGAGATACTTTGGCCAAAACATTTACTAACCCTCGAGTGGATCCAAACCTTTAGGAGTTTCGTTCTTCTGTTGTACAAAAAGGAAGAATATTTTGAAGAAAGTTGAAAAGCCGCAAGAAAAATACTGTGGAAGTCAACGGTTACAGGTCTCCAGCTATCTTCAAAACATCTTTTTTTGTGTTTAACAAAAGAAAGAAACTTGTTTGGAACAAGTCATGGGTAAATAAATGATGATTTTTTTGGGGGGGGATTTTTAAACCATTAACTACAAATGTCAAAGTTCTGCTGAAGTTGTACTGGAGGTAACCAGACTGTAACAAACAGATGTAATCGCATATGTCTTGTTTACAGTGCATCAGATGGAAGTAAACCACCTGAGATCTAAGGATTGTATACTCACGGAAATGGTTTTCCAGTCACCCTCCAGAAAATTCCTCAGAGGTGTAAGGAAGTTGATGGCTGATGTTTGTAGAAATTCCCGCTCGGATCCACCCAGCCTCTTTTGATACTCTCCAACAGTGATCAATGTACTCCCTGTAAATACCGACGAATATTCATGAGACAACCTTACATGTAGCTGAGCTTGATAATTATCTTTTCCTGTTAATCTGACGAAGAGCATCTCATGAAATACTGACTGCTTTGTCTAATTTGCTTGCCATTATTTTTTTTATTCAGATGGGAATTGTGTGTAATAAGATTATCAGATGTAGATAAAAAAAAAGTCTTTGAGTCACCTGAAGTCGAAACTTCACTGATTTAAAAATAGGAGCACATGAGCAACTGGACTAAATCTGAAAATTTTATCGCAGGTTTTTTTTTATTCATATTGTTCAATCACAGCTCCTTACTCACTGTAGGAATCAAATATGAAACTCTTGAACTTGCAGTTCTCGTGTAAAGTGTAGCATCGGCAGTCCAGCTTCAAATCTTGTTGCAATGTTATCTTTCACATATGTTTTGCTTGTGTTCATAATGCCATGTATTTTAGCAATGGTTATTGGTTAATGGTCATGATTATTTTTTAAGTTTCACATCTTATAGTTGTTCCTGATCAATTACCATCCTTAAAAAAAAACAAAATTAGCAGCATTATTAGTTTAGAAACGGCTTGTATAATAATGATAACCAAGTTATAATATAAAAAAATAATTTGTCATACTGTATGATCAGTCAAAAGGGGGATGTCAATAGTCAATTTGAACCTAAATGCATCCATAGACTAGTTTTTCAACAGCCATTGTGCTCAACTATAGAGCGACATCTAGTGGCACAAAACCTGCAACAAAAAAGTATGTTCATGCACGACTAGAGAGGCTAGAAAACATTTCAAGGATCCTGTTATTCCTGATCCGTCCAGTAGAGTAGGGGTGGGGCACAGGAAACCACAAAAAAAATTAAAAATAGCACTGCACAAATCAGTTTTCAATCAGGCCAATGTTGCAGCAGGAATTAATTGATTTGTGGGTTTAACCGAAGGGGAACGTGATTTAGCTTGAATGATACAAAAAAACCATCTTAGATCTTTTCTGGATTTGTTTTTTCATTATTGGTGGTCGTTACGAGCACCTTAAACACTTCCTTTTTTCATACCAAGGAAACACTTGATTTTTCTGTCAAGTCAATAGCCAAACAGTGAAAAACAGGAAAATGCAGAGATGAGAAAATGGGTTACAGAGAGCCTGATGCACATGGTAGCAGAGGTGTTGTGATGTTTTGATGTTTACATTGTATGTTTATTAGGGCTGGGCGGTTTGGCCTAAAATCAAAATCTTGATTAATTGAACATTTTAACTCAATTATGATGAGTGGTGTAAAGTGTACTAATAAAATCATACTTAAGTAAAGTACTATTACTTGCCTAAAAAATGTAGTGCGAGTAAAATTATCTGTTGTAAATATTACTTAAAGTATGATTAAAAAGAACTTTCAAAAGAACTCGGGAGTAGTGAGCAGTAAGTATTAAGCTGATGCATTTACATGTAATTTGTGGATGTGTGTAAACGTAACATTCTGTAGTGCATTTAGCCATTGCCCACGTCATAAGATGTTAATATTAGATTAGATTTAGGTTGTCACGTTAAGTGAAAACGCCAAATTCAATGTCTTGCCAGCGTCTAAGGAGATTGTTATTTTGATGTCCTATAACATCATGAAATTGATATTTGTTGATATTTGGTTGATTTTAGGTTGTGTTAGAAAGTGACCAAAATCCAACATCGAGCCAAAATCTTAAACCAACATCATATTGACGTCAAATACTGACATGTATTCCTCAGGTTTGGAAAACAAAATCTATCATCTGAAAGATGTCATAGTGGTGCTGTCCACACAACGTCAAGCTGCAACATCATTAAATGTTGATATTTGGTTGATTTTAGTTTAGATGTTGAACACTGACATTGGCCTGACGCCGAGTTCTGACGTCAACTCAATTTTCTTTTCCAAACAAACTGCAACGTAACTACGACATTGGGGTAGAAAGTTGATCTGACGTCATGTTGACATCTTGTGCCAGCTGGGTGTTTAAGGCAATTTCGGTCATCATACAGTAAACATCCATCATCTCATTAGTGACATGCATCTAAACAATATCTGAGTCAATGCGTGTAAGGATTTTAGACATCTTATTGGACACTTTTAATGCTTCCAAACAGTTTGCTGTAATCGCCCATGTCTTAAGGTAGCTTATGATGCAATTTACCTTCTATGTGAGATTTGATAGGACAGGAATTACAGGACTGATTTTTCTAATCCCAATGGAAAAGAAGAAATAAAGTAGTGCACTGTTAAAAATTGTCCCGTTAAAAAACAGTAAGTTACTGGCAGCACAGTTGCCAGCAAGTTACTGTTAAATTAACAGCATCTAGCTGTAGTTGAAATTTACAGGTTGTTCCTGTTTTTAGAAAATACAGCATAAAGCTGTTATTTACTACATTAACAGTAATTTAATGTCAAAATTAACGGTTAATTAATGTTTATTTGAATTTTTAACTGTAAACTACAAATATGTTATCCTGAGAAATGAACTGCTAAGAAAATGGGTATATATACATTTTTTATTTGTTATAAAAACACAGTTTAATACAATGCACACATATAGCCTTATTGGAAACATAAAAAAATGCGGTGTAACTTTAACTTTTATTACATCTTATTACACTTCAAAATTATTATTACACTTATTATATTTCAAAATTAGTGGCTATGGAAAACCAAGTAGATTTACTCCAACAATTACTACTCTGAAAACTTCTGAGTGAATTACAGAATTAGTCATTAAGAAATAAAAAAGAATGCAATGAACAGTTTAGGTATTCAAGAACATACACCTGAAAAATTACGCGACTAACACAATAAAATGAGTGCCATTAGTGAAGAGGATGTGTAAGGTGTGTGTGTGTGTGTGTGGGGACACTTATATGACATCCAACTCAAAGTCCATTAGCTTCTTTAAGTAAACTGGCAACCTTAGTGTTGACTGAATTCATTTTGTGGGTGACCTTCCCCATTCCCTTCGATAGGATGTGTCCACTCTTGGAGCCTTAGGGTTTACCAATGAAGCTCCTAAAAAAGTGCACACATTCAGAATTAGTGTGGGTTAAAGTTTATACAATAATAATGTGAAGAGAAATAAATATATGAATTTAAGCGTCTAACCTCTGAATTAATTCCAATGTGCATGCAGCCTCAGCTTGGTTCTCCACATCGAAAATGTCGTAAGTTGAAAACACAGCAGCTATACCAGACAGAAAACTTGGCTGGATGCTCTCTCAGATTATTTGCCCCTCAAAACTGATCATCCATTTATGAATGTAGCTTCCTGTTTTTTTTCCTAAAACATCTAAAAGAAAAAAACAATGTCAGCAGTCACATGAAATTATATTTTCTACTGCCTATTTGAAAATATATGTGAGGGAAGCTGACATAATTTTACTTAGTCTCAAAGCCCTGTTCTTTTAACACAATAAATGCATTAGAAAATGTTGATTGTGGACACGCCTGGACAGCCACTGAAATCAACGTGTATATACTGTGTATTGTGAAATTGTCACTGCAATGTTTGTGATTTATTTAACTTAATATTTATGATCAACATAGCTGATGTGTTAAACAACTAAAATTGAGTAATTTAGTGAATTTAATATAATGTTTTCCAAAGGTGAATGAAAGCTTGGGTAAAATATGACAGAACATTTATTTTATGTATTTGTGTATTTTGTTTTGTTTAAAAGAATTTACCATGTTTGCTAAAATACAGAGAAAACACCTTTAGTTGCATAAGTAATAAAATACAGTTCTAAACATACCAAAAAGTATCAGTCAAGGAATTGCAGGTAGTTCAAGGGTCTTTTCTACATCAGGTACAGTAGAAGATGCCTAAGACAAGAATTACAATGATGAGGAAAGAGACAAAATTAACAACCATAATGTATGCATAGCATTTTTTAATTGTATTTTCAGTTATTAGGACAATAATACCATATAGACAATAATAATAACTTTACCATGTTATCATGTTTCATTAAACTCACCTTGTAATCAGAAATCAATATCTGTATCAGAAATCCAGCTCCACTCTATGATGCAGTTAGCATGTTCACATGTTCACAGGTTCAGCGCTGAAAAGGACATACTGTATAAAACAGTTTATCGTGGTGATTAGCCAATTGTACTCGACAAAGTAGCATTACAATACAAACCAACAACAGTAACATTTTTAAACACAGCATTAGGGGAAAAATGTTTTATCAAAGCCTACATTGAAACCATATTAGGTAGCTCTTAAAAGCTAAAGCTAAAATTAACTATAAGATGACAATCTTTTCATCATGCTACCTAAATCAATACTACTTTGTTGCTACATATGTTTAAATACTGACTTTGTAGATACGCTTATAGCCTATATCATTTTTAATTATCATAGTCTGACTTACCATGTAATCAGGAAATATCTGTGTCAGAAATCCAGTTCCACTCAATGCAGATGCAGTTTGCACATTGACACTGATTTAGAACTAAAATAGATGTAAAAAAGTTACAATATCAGCATCCAGTTAGCCTATGTGCAATCACAAATGTGTATTTTGTGTAAAATTAGCTAAATAAAGGTGCACTCACCGAGTAAGTCAAAGTTAAAAGAAGCATGAAAATCCACATGTAATGGCTGACGTCTTCTGTTCAAAAAATACTGTTGATTGCTGTTTTTTTACATTGGTGTGATAAAAACAGTAAAATAATGTTAAATTTCGTCTACGTCATTTCAAAAACCGTAAAAAAACAGCAACATACTGCTTTTGACAATAACAGGATTATACTGTTAAAATTTTGCCGTAAATTAACAGCAATTTTTAACAGTGTGACTGCAGGTTGAAGGAAAGCTAAAATGCACTAAAATGTACTTAAGGGAAAGTAAAAGTACACATTTTAAAAATTACTTGGTAAATTACAATTTCTGAGAAAATCTGAGAAAAGTATTTGTAATTTGTTACTTTACACCACTGATTATGATAAATGATTACTTCACTCTTTTTTTTGCCCTCATAGTTCACTGACAAGATTTGGCCAGTAAATATGCTCACATATTACAAGGGAGAGATTTCTGAATGAAGGTTGCATTACTTGATTTTAAAATAACTGAAGGATCTACTATCTACTATCTATGATTATTTATTGAACATCAACATGGAACAACTGAAAGCAAAACACACATTACCTAAAACTAACAGTTACTTTTTTCTTATTAAAAAGTGAAAATGAACAACTTGAACTTTTAAAAAACAAAATTAATTATTTTCAATATTTTTCATATTAAAAGTAAAAAATAAGCAATATATCTTCTAAATAAAATAACTCTTTCATATCCTGTAAATACTATTTATTGCATCTTCTATAAACAAATATTTGAAAGTAAATAACAATCTTAATGTAATGGAAAATAATAAGTTATAAGTAAGGTCTTTTTACAAAATAAAACTTTTTATACTTAAGTTTGTCAAAAGAGCACTCCTGAAGCAACAATGCAAAGGTATTGATCAAGACAATAAATGTTTGTTTGTTTGTTTGTTTGTTTGTTTGTTTGTTTGTTTGTTTACTTTGTTGTCCCTCAAGGGGAAATTTTCTGTGGACTCACAGAGCACTTCAGCAGGTTCTGACATAATAAAATAATCCAAAAATTATTGTAAAGATCTCCAAGTAAATAAACTGACATAGACTGACTTCCAAAAGGAAAATGTATTTCATTTATATGCAGACTGCTAATTTCTGTAGCACAAAAGATGCTTGATATCTCTGTCACTGTAGGTTACAGTTATTTTAAGAGAGGTGAGTCAAATCTAGAGAGATGGAGAAACTACTGTACCATCACTCTACTTTTTTCACAAAATAACCTTTTCATTCATTCATTTATTAATTTCCTTTGGCTTAGTCCCGTTATTCATCAGGGGTCGACACGGCAGAATGAACCGCCAACTCATTTAGCATATGCTTCACACAGGCCTTCCAGCTGCAACCCGGTACTTGTAAACATCCATACACACTCATTCACACACACATACACTACGGCCAGTTTAGTTTATTCAATTCACCTATACCACTTGTCTTTGGACTGTAGTGGAATCCGGAGCACCAGAAGAAAACCCACGCAAAAACGGGGAGGACATGCAAACTCCACACAGAAATACCAACTAACCCAGCTGGACTCGATTCAGTGACCTTCTTGCTGTGAGGCGACAGTGCTAAACACTGAGCCACCGTGTTGCCTTAACCTATTCACTTTTGAATAATGTTTGATTACAAATAAAACTAAAAAGGTTTCATCACATTAAGTTTGATGCGGTTTGTTATACGAACCATATGGAGATCCTGGCCCAAAGTCTTTCGCTGCATCCTGCATGTACTGTCCCAGCAGCTCTGCATTGGTGATTCTGGATGGGATCTTTTTGTCTAGTTTCTCATAGAAGAACTCCTCAATACGGGCACCTGAACAAACATTCACATCAGTAAGACAGACGCAATGCTATATCCAAGTTTTTCTTCAGTAAAATAAACTAAAGCACATCAATTTATCAATTAAACCATTGATTGTTTGTTACATGTCCATATCAAAACAGCCCACAACCAGCTAATTGTGAAAATGTTAGATACATTTAATTATATTAGAAGTAAACCTTTAAGACTCTGCAGGCAAAGCAAACTTTAACAATATGAATAATAATGACTGAAAAACAATCCAGTATGTTAACACCTTTAAGTGTTTCTTTATACACAATAGGGCCGCACAATATATAGTTTTAGCATTGATATTGCAATGTGATCATTTGCAATAGTCACATCGCAAGTATATTCAATATTGGGTCTGGATTATAATTTATGGCCTATGACTGTGTGAGGGTTTTAAAGACAATCAGGCATCAAAAAAATTTACCGTTTGTAACTTTGACAAATTGACAACAATTGACTTTATGGAATTGTTTATAAAATGAAGACATTTACATTTGATTACTCAGTTACTGTTCATTTAATATATATCTTTTTCTTTATTGAATTCATCTATGCTTATAGATTGTTTATTATATATAAATATATGGATAGTTATTCAACTCATCAAGAGAAATTGTTCATATCACAATATACAGCAGAATAAAAAATTATCGCAAAGTTAGATTTTTCCAATATCGTGCAGCCCTAATTTACACTTTTAGTAATTTATATCTGTATTTGTAGATTTCAATTACAATACAGGCCGATTGCAGGAAAAAAATTCCCCTGCACATCATTTTTTTTTCTGCCGAGTCATTAATCTCCACTTCAGCAGAACTTATTATACAAACACCAAACTTTACAAGTCTATGCATATCTGTATTCTGAAGGTTTTTGTAGAGGGACATGTGTATAAATTTCTACAAAAATTGTGACAATTGTATAAAAAAATTATTTAAAAAAAATTTTAAAAAAGGACAGTTGCAGTTTTTTTCTAAATTACACAGTGATAAAAAGAGATACACAAAATATGCTCTGTAAAAAACACACATTTAAAAAAATAAATAAATAAAAGAAAGAAAGATTCTGAACTTACAATATTCAAATTTTTGCCAAAATGCATGCTGATGTCCTGAAATAATGCCTCATTAACATATTTAAACATAATATTTTAGAAAACCTATAATGGAAAATATGTTTTGCAATTCTTAGTGGAATCAATCAATTGTGGAAGTATTGTAAAATCTTTTGGTACATTTCTACACTTTCACCTGCAGTGTCTTGCCTTGAATGTAATTTATAATACATTTATTGAATTAATCTCAATATACAATAATCCTAGCTTTTCAACACCTAATTATTTTCAATATTTCATAACCCACTTAAATATTCAACCTACTTTTATTGAAAAATTTCATTGAAATTGAAAATTTCAACAAAATGCCATGTCAGCAAGCAAGGCTATTTTCATGGCAAGAACATTTCAATAATAAATATATCAATAAAAAAAAATAAAATAAAAATAAACAAACAAATGAACATTCATTCATTCATTCATTCATTCATTTTCTTTTCAACTTAGTCCCTTTATTAATCTGGGGTCGTCACAGCGGAATGAACCGCCAACTTATCCAGCATATGTTTTACGCAGCAGAAATCTTTCCAACTGCAACCCAACACTGGGAAACACCCATACATTCACACACATAAACTACGGGTAATTTAGTTCCAAACAAATTAATACAGAACTTTAAATAAGATTTTTAGCAATAAAACATGATCAAAAATTTTTTATAAAAATTCCTGGTGTAAAAAAAACAATGAGTAGCCAGCAGGGTTTGAAGAGACCTCGCAAACTTGATAACCAGATAAAGTTTGTATATTCAGACGAGTAAAAAACTAAAATCCACAAGAAATTTATCTTCCTTTAAATTCCTTTAAACTACCACATCTTCAAAAGGAGAGAATGACTAAGACAAAGGCACAGTGAGAAGAGTGAGGAAAGCCAGTCACTGCAGTAAAGAGTTAAACTGGTGGCCTAAAGCGCAGGCCACGAGGAGTAGAGATAGACTTACCAGTTTGGTCAACTGGAGCATGAAGAGAGTCAAAAAGAACAGGTTAGTGTTCTTACTAACACACAATCACTGGCCCATCAGAACCTCTTACACTTGTAAAACTTAAACACTTCAGATAAGCTCTAAAGCAACTGAAACGCGTGGGCTTATCAATGATAACAAAATTATAACCAAATTAATACCAAATGTACCATGTTGTTCACTCAGTATAAAATGAAAAAGCAGATTTTGGACTTGCGTGTGGATTTTTGGAGATCTACACAAATGTTCAAATGAATGGGTTAAGAAAACTTTTGCAAAATTTTTAGAAATAAGTTTTTCACACTCGAAAATGCTGCGTACAGTCAATTTTAAAAATACAAAATTAAAAACAGTAGTGCAAAGTACTATTATGTCCGATGTCGACCAATTTGGCATCGTACGATGTCTAATGTGAAACATCGACGATGATGCCATCGTCCGTCGTGTAGGCGGTGGTGAATAAATTATTTATAAATAATTAATTTATTCATAACGAATTAATTATTTGTATCCTACCGTTTCAACTACCTGACCCACATGGTCTTTGTTTTATCTGTGTCTTTAAAATGGCGTTGACAAACTTGTTTGGTAAAAAAGGTGCACAACCAACAGGAATCAAACCAACAGTATGTGAGGTTTTCGCTAAAATTAAGCACCAAGTACAAGCGTGAAAGCGAAAGATGGAAGCAGTATACTGATGCTGTGACATGTTACCTGATGGAGTCAAAAGACCGAAGACAAGATTAATTAAACATGACGTTTAACTATAGTAAGACACGATCCAGCGGTACATCCTTGATAAACTGTCCGACGTGCACTGCTCTCTGGGGTTTTGTGCTCAAAGCACCCACTGACTGCCTAGAGCTTAGACGTGCTCATATGAGTGTGAGTGTGTATGTGTGTGTGTGTGTGTGTGGTCACGTGATGTGCGTTTTCAGTGGTGTGGTGTGGATGAAGAGCTGTTCAGTAATGCTAGTTGAAACGTGTGGAACGTTTTCATTATAAAATTCTATTTTAAGACGTATTAGTGTAAATGGGGCCTGAGTGTGTGCTTTTTGTTGATGGGGGCGGGGCAGAAGATAGCGATGCTGGCTGAGCATCGTGATGTCTAAAGGCCATTGGCGATGGACAATGGCATCATCTATCGACCCAACCCTGGTCAAGTCACTTTTTCACTAGCTTCCTTGCTAAATGAAAATGAATAACACTTGACATATTGTGTTCTGAGGACCAATGTATAGCTTTTTAAATAGTCCAGTATTTAGCAAAAAGTTTGTAATAATGTCTTAAACACTTTCCAACGTAGGATATTTCATACTGCACTAACTGCAGCCAAGAAGGTGCTATTTAAAATATGGTATGAACCTGCATTCCCAGCGGACAAAATGTGGCTTATTGAACTAAAAAATATTGCGCTGGTAGAACGTTCTACAGCGGGAATTAACAGACCTAAACCGCAAATAATCAAAGAATGGTCTAATTTTATTCGGGAAAATTCTTATGAAATAACTAGATAAACTAAAGCATACTGAAAGATAAATAATATTATATTAGAGGTGTATAAAGGTCACTTCTCACCCCAGAGTTTTTCTTTTCCTGTTTATTGTTATTTATTTATTTAATGTATTTTGATTTAATGCAAACCCTGACTTGTATATAGTTGTTGCTAGCTATGTATGCTGGCTTTGTTCTGCAATAAATAAATAATCACACAAAAAAAATGTAATAATGTAATTGTAATAATGTATTTATAAGACTGTTTTATCCTTTGCACTCCCAGTGACCAGAGGTGAAACGTCCTGTTCAAGAGCACAGTAATGATTAACAGCTCAGATTTTAACCGCTATGCAGTTCACTGTTTTTCAGCACCCTAATAAAACACATGCCTACTCTTTCATTAGTGAAACTACCGCAGCTAAAAGAAAGATCATTTTAAAAGCATCAAGAATTTCAGAGATAATACACTGACATATCACGAAGACTGAAATAGTGACACCTAAGCAGCACTGCGGTTTTAACATGGTGGTCAAGCATCCTGTGTCACTTGTTGTCGACTATCCAGGAATAAACCAGACATTTGATTTCTCAAATCTCTTTTTAAAGTATTTTTTCACAGACGCACAGGTAATCAAGCAAATGGCGACATTAAAGCAGATTGATTTAGCCAACAAACAGGAATGTCCCTTAGTGGGAAATGTCAACAACATGAGGCATTTTTTGGCTCAACATTTAAAAGCCAATGACATATATTTCTATTTATTAAATTAAATCTAACTACAGACTATTAGCTTTGAGAAAACACAGTGAAGTGGCTAAAACTGCTGGGTTCATTCTTACTTGGGTTGGGTTGAAGCAGCACTTCGGTCTGTCTGAAGATCTTCTCTGTCCAGTTTTTGGTACAGTCTGCTCGAGCGATCAGATTCTCCAGATGGGCATCTAACTCAGTCTTTTCTGCCTGGCCAAGCTTCTCCTCTGTGTACTGAAGAACATATGAAACAACTCACTGTCTAAAATACAATAACAAATGAAATATCAGTATGTATGTCTTGGAAACAAGAGTATGCATAATTTGCTCTAAATAACAAACTATTTCAGAATGTAAACAAGATGTTCAACATCACCCCATTAATGAATCATACGATGTAAAAGTGTACTCTTCAGAGACTGAACGTTCTCAACACTACTCTTATTGCAGCAAGAAATATAGAATTAGCTTCATTACAAAATGCTGATGTGAATAAAAACATGGATTTACAAATAGTTGAAGTGTGACCTAAAATGTTATGTTATTCAAACTCTAAAGCTTCATTATGTGTGCATAGTTATTAATATTAATATAGAAGTCAATGTTCTGATCTGATTTTTCCCCAAGGACATTTACCAATTTCAAAACCACATCAAAATACTAATAATTTAACATGCAATTATTTAGGAGAGATGCTATTTCATATGCATTCAGTTATTTACTGTGTTAAATAGCTGGACTCTCTGGCTCAAGCATGGGTTAAGTTAAAAATAATAATTTGCATGTAACAGAATATTTATTTTTCAAAAACAATCTTACTTCCAGGATCATAACAACTATTGCAATTTTTTCAAGCCTGGCTCTTGGTTCCAAAACTAAAAGGGAAATTACTTTTATAAGTGCTGCACCCAGAAAAGCACATGCTTGGCCAGCTTGATCACATGCCTATTGCCCACAACAGTGATATACATGATTTTACTGAAAATGATTCCATAAAAGTGTGCTTTTGGATGTGAGGGAAAACTGAACTAGTCAAGCCATGGTTAATTTAACCCTTTTACACGCAAGTTTTAACTACTTCAGTGGACCCCCACTTTGTAAGTTATTACGAATGAATCACTTTTATAGGTCCAACTGCTCGTTAACGCAAATTTCTAATCAGCCAATCACATGGCAGCAACTCAATGCATTTAGGCATGTAGACATGGCCAAGATGATCTGTTCATACTGAGCATCAGAATGGTGAGGAAAGGGGATTTAAGTAACTTTAAATGTGGCATGGTTGTTGGTGCCAGACAGGCTGGTCTGGGTTTTTAAGAAACTGCTGATCTACTGGGATTTTCACACACAACCATCTCTAGGGTTTAGAATGGTCCGAAAAAAGAAAAAAAATATGCAGCAAGCGGCAGTTCTGTGGGTGCAAATGCCTTGTTGATGTCAGAGGTCAGAGGAGAATGGTCAGACTGGTTCCAACTGATAAAGGCAACACTAACTAAAATAAGCACTCGTTACAACCGAGGTATACAAAAATGCATCTCTGAATGCACAACTCAAACCTTGAAGCGAATGAGCTACAGCAGCAGAAGACCACATTGAGTGCCACTCCTGTCAGCTAAGAACAGGAAACAAAGGCTACAATTCACACAGGCTCATTAAAATTGGAAAATAAAAAATTAGAAAAAAAAAACATTGGGGTCCATTATTACCAATTAAGCATTGTGTCAAAGCCACAGTCAACCTGAGTATTGTTGTTGACCATGTCCATCTCTTTATGACCACAGTGTACCAAACTTCTGATGGCTATTTCCAGCAAGATAACACACCATGTCATAAAGCGTGAATCATCTCAGACTGGTTTCTTGAACATGAAAATGAGTTCACTTTACTCAAATGGCCTCCACAATCTCCAGATCTTAATCTAATAGAGCACCTTTGGGATGTGGTGGAGATTCGCATCATAGATGTGCAGCTGACAAATCTGCAGCGACTGCGTGATGCTATCATGTCAATATAGACGAAAATCTCAAGAATATTTCAAATACCTTGTTGAATCTATGCCACAAATGATTAAGGCAGTTCTGAAAGAAAAAGGGGTCCAACCTGGTACTAGTACAGTATACCTTATAAAGTGGCCAGTGGCGACATGTCTGACAGATCAGCCCCACGCACTGCAATATAGATTAGAGCTGCTGGATTACTAAATGTCAGTTCATCCTAAACTACAATCAAGGAAGTGGCTATTGAACTGTTGATAATAAAATAAACATTCTGAGAAATTAAATTAAATTAAATTTATTCTTACTGACCTCAAACTTTAGAAAGATAAAAGGCAGAAGATTCCAATCTTCCAAAAAATTTGAATGAGTAAAATCCTCTGTAACAGTAATGGGTAAAGCAAACATGCTGTGTCTACAGTATAAAAACTTGAATGAAGGGACTCCGCAAGTGTACTGTGGCTTTAAATGATAATGATCTTCTTCCAGCTAAATCCGCAACAGGTACAGCAGTAGTGACTTATCCGTGTCTCCAATGCTGATCGGCTGACAGGCCAAACCCCTACATCTGTTCCCTGCTAAAACAGACTACAGGTCTGTAAAGCTCTTCTCTTTATTATATCATATTTTCAGAGGAGACATAATAATAAGCAAGATCGTCAAAAAAATGTAAATGGAAGATGACCAGACAAGAGTTGAATTGTAAGGGTTTGTTTAGGCCTTTGTGACTGATATTCACTTGATATCCAAATTTAGAGACTAGAGTCATTCTAACAGCTGATCAAACGCTCTTTGACTTTCATTGATAAACAGGAAGCTCCTGGCACACCGTGGGACCTGTAGTCAAGGATTTCCTCTGACGTGGTGAAAACAATATGATACTGTTGTTTAATATTTCACTCTCACAAAGGGATAACCCCAGCTGACGAAGCATAAAATTGCAGCCTGAAGTGAAAAAAAAGATTATAAATCACATTCACATGCTGCGACTCGGCATGAAGGATTCCCTTTACTGCTGCAGCTCTGAATTTATTTCACCAGTGAGCTGAGAATATATGTCAGTCGATCATAACAAATGAGGAATCCTGACAAACACACTGACAAGAGGTGTTTGCAGCATCTTGTGGATGAACAAATGATTTTTGAAAGTGACCTGCAGTTTCACATCCAGGGATAAAACATTATGGGCCCTATCATACACCCTGCAGCTGCGCAATAAGGAGCAAGACATGTTTGGCATTATTTGTTGCTATTGTGAGACCAGCGCAACCCAAATTTTCACGTTTTGTGCCACGTTGTTTAAACAGCAAATCCATTTGAGCCACTTTGTGGACTCAAGGGTTTTATTGTTGGCATGTTGCTATTTTGAGGAACTGAAATAGACTGCGCCATTGACTGACTAAAAGCTGATCTAAAGTCCAGCGTAGAGCATGTTAGTTATGCGCGTCTGCAGGTTTAAACGCCTAAACATTGCTTAAGACACAAAGGATGTACAGCAATACACAAATATCTTTACATATGAAAAAAGGTTTAAAATGTTACAAAAATTATTATGTTGTACACAAATATAAAAACTACTACCTACATGCCTCATCTGGGGGCCGGCTGGGGGGTGGGGGGGTATGCATTGTATATATGTATTTGTTATAATAAAAAACAAGTCTGTTATCTGTCAAATAACATCTGTCGGGTTTTGGAGTGTGCATCACCATATAGGGCATATGAATAGGATGCTTGTTTGGATATAACTCAGTTGTTTGAACACACTTCATTATTATTGTTAATTTATTCATTTGCTGGAAATTAGAACTGAATTTAGAAATAGTTTTGAAACAAATCTTTGCGCTTAAACTAAATTAAATATGTAGGATAATCGATGTCTTCAGTGGCCGAATGGAGGAGACTCGTTCTTTATCCTCGCGCTGCAGATGGTCTGTTTAACGGTTTTCTCACTAGTGAAGCATTTAGTTTTTCAAATTACAAAGTCCTCCATGTAAATAGCAAATAGCGCGACGCAACTGACTCTAAAAGGCAATGGGAGATAAGACTCTGATTGGTTTAATGCACATAAACATTAAAGCACAACCTTGTTAGACTATGCGCCGGGGTGCAGAGCAGCTTTTTCCTTCCTTAAAATAGCAAAAGTGGATTCGGACACATCCTTAATGACTTTGCGCCTAGATCATTAAAATAGGGCCCTATGTCTTTAAGAATGATAATACTGTGACAATATTCTATATGTCACCCTGGCCTGGACACATACTGTAAGGTTAACTACACAAGAATGAACATCTAAACTCATTATAAATAGTACATTTATTTATTTAATAACTCTGATGTTTGTACATTGTAAGACATTTTTCTTCACGCCACTGCAGTCACGCTAAAAATGATATAAATGAAACAATATTGGACGTTTTACAGGAAAATCCCTTTTTTTTCTAGGGATGCACAATATATGATTTGCCATATTTGTAAGTGCTGTGAGATGCGTATTAATGTCATCAGCCTAATAGGAAATTTATATTTAGCAGCTTGCAAATATAGAGAGTTATCAATTATAGGGATATCCTTAAACTTAAATTTTCCAACTTCTCTTTAGTGGGGGCCATTGTGGGGTGATATTAAATGCTCATTCTTCAAAAATAATTCTTCATTTTCTTACTTTTTTGTCAAATAAAAGAAAGAAAGAAAGAAAGAGAGAGAGAAAGAAAGAAAGAAAGAAAGAAAGAAAGAAAGAAAGAAAGAAAGAAAGAAAGAAAGAAAGAAAGAAAGAAAGAAAGAAAGAAAGAATGAAGTGACTACACTTAATTCATCAAGGATAAACACAATGAAGTTTCATTCTGGTCCTTAATGTAAACTAACAACTTTAACAATTTAGAGAAAATATCATCTGTCACAGTCTACAGACCAATTCAGGGGTCGGCCTAGAAAATAAATTATAAAAATAACAAACACCTTTTATCCATAAATGCAAACCCACATGGAAACAGATGGCCATCCTCAGTCACACATACACCACCAGCTGGCCAGACATCTTTCAGAGCTCTGCATACAAGCAGGTCTATAGAAAGGAAATTGCTCCCTCTCATGATGCTCCAATGATGATCGAGAGAATAGTGATCAATACTTCCAAAAATAGTCCTAACAGGAGTGATAGGCAGCATAGCATTAGGCACAGACTGAAATATAAATCATTATTAGCTGAAATTTGGCTTTGCGGAGATTGAAAAGACTGTTTGAAC